AAATGTTAAAATATAAATAATATTTATAAATATATTAAAGAAATAATTACAAATTTTCTTATAATAATTTAAATTTAACGAAAGGTTTTAAAATATAATAAATTAACAGTTTAAAATGTAATAAATTAGTAATGTAATAAATGTAATAAAATGCAATAAATTGATAATATAATAAATATAGTGGATTAATAATATAAAAAAGAAATGTAATGCATTTACAATAAATTAAACCAATGAAAATGTTAAGAATTTTTTTATAAAAAAATTATTAATAAATATTATTATTATAATAATTTATATAAATTATTAAATAAATTATTATATTTATTTTATTTATACATTAACCATATTATTAAAATAACTTATAAAAAAGATTTTTTCTTTTCTTTTTTAATTTATTAAGTTTTATATCAAATAAAACCTTATAAATTGTAAATTTATATATATTATTTATATTTATTTTAAAATTTTTTTTTAAAATTTTTTTTAAACGTTATTTTTAATGTTAAAAAATAACTTTTATATATTATTTATAATTTATAAACATATTTTTATTTCGTTATTTTTAATATTATTTTTATTATAATAACGTTTATAATTATAAATAATGCGTTTTTTAAAAAAGTTTTTTATATTAATAAAACTTTTTTAATTATTTTAAAAACTATTTTTTATATTAATATTAAATAATTTTTTAATTAAATATTTATAAGTTTTATATAAAAATTAACTGTTTTTTTCAATAATTTTTTCCAACTTTTATATTACGTTTTAATATTATATAATATTATTAAAAATAATATTATATAAATTATTTTATATAATTTATTTATTAAAAGTTTTTTAATAATTATTATAAAACTTTTAATATAGTTAATTATTTTTATAACTTTAATAATTTTAATTTTCATATATTTTTTATATTTTAATTTTTTATTTAAATAAACTTTTAACTATTATATAATTAAAAAAAGCTTTATTATTTTAAGTTTTAACAATAAAATTAATTTAACTTTTATTTTTCTTTTAAATTTAATTAAAAAGTTACTTTTATTTTTTTTTTTTTTAAAATATATTATTTTTATTTTTTTAAAAATAAATATTATTTTATTTTTTTTTTATATCGTAATATTTTATTTACTTTTTTTTTTTACCTTTTTAATGTTTTTTTTAACGTTTTTTTAAAAGTTAATATTATTATATCGTTAACATATTTTTATTTATATTTATTACTTTTTAATAATTTATTAAAATATAATATATATAATATAAAAAATAATAGTAAATTTTATAAAATTTTACATTTTACTTTTTTAATTTTTATAGTAATTTTTTTTAAACAAATAATAACTTTTTTATTTATAAAAGAAAATTTTATAAAACATAAAATTTATTCCGATTAATTTTATATAATTATTTAAATTAATAATTTATTTTATAATATAATATTAAATGTTTTTTATATATTTAAAATAATTAATAAAACTTTTTTCCTGTTTATTAAAATTAATTTAACGTTATAAATAAAATTAATTATTAAATTTATAATAAATTTTTTAAATATTATTTTATATTTTAAAATTATTTAAACTATTTTTTTAACCATAATTTTTTTTAATTTTTTTTTAAATATAATAATAATGTTATAAATTTTTAAATTTTATAAATAATAAAATTTATTTTTTTTACTTTTAATATTATTATTACTTTTATTTTTTTTTATATATTAAAGTAAACTTTTATTTTTAAACATTTTTTTAATAAATTTATATAATATTTTGCAAATATTAACTACGTTATTTTTAAATATTTAACCGTTATAACGTTTATGTTTAAAAAAATCGAAAAATTTTTTATTACATATTTTTTAACTTTTTTTATTATAACTTTAATATTTTAAAATAAATGGCTTTTTTAATTAATTAATTTTTTATTTTATAAATTATTTTTTAAATTAAATTTAAATAAAATGGTATTTATTAAATATTTAACTTTTTTTTTAACATTTTTTATTACTTTATTTTTAATTTAATTTATATTAATTTATAACTTTTATAAGGTTTTTATTATTTTTATATTTGTTTTTTATTTTATTTTAAAAATCTTTTTAAACTTTTTTATATATTATTAAAAAGTCTTTTTTAACAAATTTAAATAATTTTATTTTTTTTGTTTTTTCCCATTTTCTTTTATTATACGGCAATTTTTTAACCATTAAAACGTTAATTTCCCTTTAATACAATAAAATTTACTTATAATTTTAATATAATTATTAATTAATTTTAATAAACTTTTAATTATATTATTAATTTTATTTATAATATTTATTATAAAAATATTTAATAAATTATATAATTTAACTTTTATTAAATTAATTAAATATATTAATTTATTTTTAAATATTTTTTAAATTTTAACTTTTTTTAAAAATAATTCTGTTTTTTTACCTTATAATATTATTTTTAAAAATAAATGGTTTAAACCATATTTTAATTTTTTCGCTATTTAATTTTTAATAAAAAATATATTAAAAAAAATAGGTTTAATACGTAATTATTTTTATAAATAATTACATTTAATTAATTTATAAAATATATATTTATTTTAATTAACTAATTTATTAATTTACATTTTTTATTTTTTATATTTATATTTAATTTTTATTTTAAATAATATATATTAACATTATTTATTATTAAATAATTTTTTAAAAGTTTAAAAATTATAAAATAATTTAATATTAATTTAATTTTAAATTATTTATAATAATTTAAATATAAATATTTATTAATATTTAATTATATAAAGTTTTTATAATATATTTTTTGGTAATATTTTATTAATAATCGTAAGTTTTTTTTAATATATATTATAATTTTAAATTTATTTTTTTCTTTTATATTTTAAACGTTTATAAAAAAATATTTATTGTATTTTAAATATTTTAATATAATATTATTTTAATATTTAAATATTTACGATTTGGTAATTATGGTTATGTTTATATTTTTATTTTAATATTATTGCAAAAATATTTTATATATATATAAATTTTTACTAATATTATAAATTATTATATTAATTATTTTAAATTTTAAAAGTTTATAATAAATTTATTTTTTAATTAAAATTATATTACAATTTTAAATAAACTTTGCGTTTTAAATTTAAATATTTTAAACATTTTTTTGCTAATTATTTTATTAAACGGTTTTTTAATTTTTTAATTATTTTAATAGGTTTTATTTTTATAATTTTAAATTAAGTTATTTTTATTAAAACGTTTAAATCTGGTATAAATATCGGTATATAAATTATTAATTTTTTAATAAATTTTACCATTTTAAATTTTATTATTTTTTTATTTTCCGTAATAATAATTTCGAAATTAATTATATTAATTATCGTTTTATTTGGAAATTTTTCCACAAATGTTTAAAATACTTTTTTTTTATTAATAATATTTTATTATTTAATTTATTTCGGGAAATTTTTGTTAAAAAATAATATTAATATTATAACTTTTATAAAAAAAAATTTTATTACGTATTTTTGGTTATTTACTTTTTTAATAGTTTTTAATTTAATTTAATTTAAAAATATTATTTAATTATATACTTTTTAAAATTTATATAAATAATTTTTGTAATTTATTAAATAAAACCTGTAATAATTAATATATTTAATTAATTAATTATAAACATTTTATATTATAAGTTTATATTTATTTAAACGTTTATTACAATTTTTATATAACGTTTTTTTATTATAATATTTAATAATATAATATTTTTAATATTTAAAGTTATATTATATAATATAAGTTTATTTTTTTACTTTTTTTAAAAAATTATTAACGGAAAATAATTTAAAACATTTAACGTTTTTTTTAAAAATTATTACTTAAATAACTTTTTTAATTATTAAATTTATATTATTACGTAAAATATATATATTTATAAAGGTTAAATTAACTTATATTTTAATTTTTTTTATAATTATTTTTTTATTAATATTTATAAGTATATTTATAGTAAAATTTATTGTATTAATTGGTATTTTCGGTATTATATATATTAATTATTTTTTTAATATTTTTACCGTTACCGCATATAAAATATTTATTATAATAATTTTTTATTTTTTTTTAAAAAGTAGTTTTTAATGTTTAAATTTATTATTTTAATTGTTTATTTTATATTTATAAATTATACGTTTTTAATAATTTTAACCGGTAATGTTAAAATTTTTATTAAAACAATTTTAACGGTATATAAAAAAAGTTATTATTTTAATTAACTTTAAAAAAATTATATTAATATGTAAATATTTAACTTTTGTATATTTCGTTTATTAAATAAATTGGTTATTATTTTATTATATATTATTAAAGGTATTATTAACAGTATTTTTATAATTAATTTAAATACCGTTTTTATTTTTTATTTAATTATTTTAACATAAAATATTATTTTTATTAAATAAAATTCTAATTTTATAATAATTATTTAAACTTATATATTTATAAAATATAATAACATTATTAAATTACTGTTTAATTATATATATATTAAAATATTAAAATATTAGTTTAAAATTTTAACATATTTTTAAACAATTTTACGGTATTTTATTTAATTATTTTTTTTAAAAAATTTTACGAAATTGTTTAAAATAATTATTAATTTTATAATAACTTTTTTTAAATTTTAACCTTTTGTTTAACTTTAACATATTATTTACTAATTAAATTTTATAATAAAAACTTTATATTTATTATAATAGGTTTTTTTTTAATTATTAAAGTTATTTTTAAAAAAGGTATAACGTTTAAAAATTTAACCTTTTTTTTTATTATAAATTAACTATAATAAATATGTTAAAAATTAATGTTACCGTATATTAAAAATTAATTATTATAATAAAACGTAATAACATAAAAGGTTTTAATATAAGTAAAAAATAAAAAAATCTTTTATTTACTTTTTAATATTTTAATATTTTTACGCTATTTTTAACATGTATTAATGTTTTATATAATGTATTTATAATATTACTAACAATAACATGCGCACGGATAATAAATACAAGGAAAGGTGTCTCTTGTTATCTGGAAGTCCTGTAAGCGCCTTAATGACCTCATTGTCTTCGACCTCATTATCTGTTTTCAACAAAAAGCTATAGGAGTCAAGAAACCCTTTTGCTGATCTTATTACTGCTTGGAATTTGTCTGGGTTCAACTTCCCGCCAAATTCAACGCATTGTTTAGTATGGTAGAACCAATACTGGACAGCATAGTCTTGAAAAGCATAGTATCCTTTGACTGCATGACTATAAACTGTCTTCTCATTGATGCCACATACGAATGGCCCTGATGTTAGATACTGTGAGCAGAATATAGCATAGTTAGCATGCGTCAGCGTGATGTCGATCCAGTTTCTTCGGATAAGATATCTCCAAATGGTTAGTCAAAGCTTGAGAGCTGATTATGCTGACTTATTCTCGGGCAGTCTCATGAACGATTTTGATGATATCCTCGGGGTCATCTCTCCTATCACTGGTGCTGTGCACGTCGACGAGGGATCCGCACAGTTCCTTGCAAGTGACCCTGAGCCTGTTTTCTTCATATTCAACGACTGCCTTAGTCGGTGTAATGCAAAAGCTGGACTGAATCTCACGCCATCGGAGGAGTCGTCCGGCACAAGTAATCCAGCCTAAGATCTTCCTTGCGTCTTCACGTTCGGAAAGGGAGGACTCTTCGAAAATCCGCACAGCTACCCTTTCATACCTGTAGCAAGAATAGCAATTAGTCAAATATCTTAGTTAGTTTCAAGATCCAGTGCCATTACGCTTTCTCAATCCCTTCAGGGAATACGCCCGGTTGTATTTCGCTTTTCAAGCCGGAGAGTCTTGTTTGACTTAATAAGTTCTCCAAGACCACACGGGCGTACAAGAACATGCCTATTATTTTGTCAACATTAGTGCGGGGTATTATTTAGGTATTTAATGCATATTACCGTTGGCGCCATCTGTAATACGGCGAGCGATATCATTTTGGAATTCTTGGGAAATACCAAACTTATCCCCTATCCGTTCGCAGAAATGTGAACAATACCCTTTGATGTCTTCGGCGTGGGCAGTATTTTCTAAACTGATAGATGATTCGCTGGCGAGAAGATTGTCTAGGACGCCGTCTCGCTGGCCGCAGAATAATATGCGCAATGAGGTGGTAGTATTCTCTGAACGCCCTTTCACGAGCGATAATAACCATTCTACTGATCTCTCTGCTTCTTTAGGAGCACTTTCATCTAGGCCGTCAACCACAATGTACGAAGCTTGATGGCATCCTAGGGCTTCCTTAACAAGTGTTTCTAGTGTTATTGTTAGTCGTAAGGATGTTGAGTCCATCACCGATATTTTATTGAATAGGTGATCCGACATAGCGGGGTCCTGGATGATGAGCTGATCTAGAATACCACGAAGAAGGCTATTGTGCGACTTTTTACCAGGCTGCTGATGCTTAAAGTAAAAGTAGGCAACACAGTAACTAACCCTCGCAGAATACCTACCATCTAGGAGCTTCCTAATCACCGCCGACGCTAAAGTTGTTTTGCCTGGGATAAGTTTAGTCAGTTTTAATACCTTATACTGGAACAATACTGGAATAAAACATACCTGCACCCGGGATTCCGTTGATATATAAGACGCTGTGTCCAACAACAGGGCTATACCAAGCTTGAAACTCATTATTTTCAAAAATCCATTTCCCAGAGCTGTCGATAAATCTATTCTCTGTAGCCATCTCTTGGTCGATTCCATAATTTGGAGCCTCTAACTTTTCCCTGATGTGAGATATCCGAGCCTTGTGGCTTTTGCGGCGTTCTTCATCCATCTGCTGTCGGCATTCCGTATACATAGTTGAAATATCTTTGCGCAGCTTCCGAATCTCGTAGAGAGTCGCCGAGCCTTTCTCACTTTCTAGTAACTCACGTCGCTTGCTCAAACTATGCAAGATTGGGCTGAACTTGCTGTCAAAGGTTTTCCATAGCGAGTGATACATATCTTTCCATACTACAGCACTTTAGTTAGTTATGTTTACTTGTAAGATGATTTGCCCAAGGAAGAAAGGAGTACATACTAGGCCGTTTGAAAACGGAGAGAGCTATGCGATGAAACTCTAGAATGTCTGAATAGTAGTCTTCGAGTACGGTAGCTAGAGGGGGATGTTCTATGAAGGTTGCCTCGTAGCGTTGAAGGCCAGGGATAGCATCTCCTATTTGCGCATATACATCGAGTAGTTTATCAAAGGAATTAAGATGCGTGCTAGCGGTCTTAATTTAAGAGCAGTGTTACTTGATCACATTCCGGAAAGCGAACATGTATTCTTCAGTACTCACCAGAAGAATGAATTTGATAGGCCCCTTTGCAAGTTAGAGATTGCTGAGTTGAAGGGCTTATTGAAATGACCACAATTACTTACCCATATGAAGCAAACAAATTCACTTGCATTCACAAATACTTCAATTACTTTGCCGAGTTGTTCCATTGCTTCAATGAAACCCCTGAGTCGTCCCATATATCGTAATTTTCCCTCGCTTCCATGTTTCTGTTGGATTTCCTTGCAGACTTGCTGTACATGTGACAACGAGCACATGGAAAATTCCTTTGCAAGATCTGGAGAAATAGATTGTTTGAATCGATTGAGTGCTCGCTGGAAGCTGTCTGCGTTTGGCTTTGCCATCCCCGATAAGGATTCATCAGAGCCTTTCTCGACATATAATTACCTAGGTAATGTCTTGAATGTCGGTGGCTGTGTTGGGATTTATTTGTATTAATCGTATATTGAGCAAGAAGACATGTAGCAACAAATATATTAAGGAGAAAAAGCCTCGAAAAAAGCCTCGTTGCCTCGTTTTCCATTCCGTCGTTCCGATGTTGCATTGATAGGTACCTACATATCTTGGCCATCCTATGCATTGCCCACAATTCCAGCCAATGATTATTCATTATTAGGTGTGCATGGGGTGGATTGGGGCTGAGCTGCATTGTGCGGCCTTATTTGTTGGTCGTGATTTATATAATTTCGAAACCAGCGCTTATTGCTTGCCGTTGCTACAGAGTAGAGCCTTGCTCAAAGCCCCCGTCGTACGTTCCTTCTCCTTTCCACTTTTCCCCTTATAATTAGAATTACTTTAAAACTACCATTTTGTCTGAATACGTAAGGCATTTATATTGTGTGGAGTAGTACTTCCGTACAGGACTAACTATCCTACTCTTTGGTGCTTGGAGGACTGGGGACGGACATAGCTCGAGGCAAAATATTAGTGGAATCTTGAGGAGATATATTGATACCAGTATGGATGGATATGAGATCTGTTATGGCACTGTAGGCTTCAACATTCATCTCAGATTTGAACTGTCGTAACTTATATGCTTAGTTGTACGATGCGGTTGCAAAGATATTAATCAACACCGAGATGCCCCGCGAAATTGCCGGAGCGTTCAAAATATTTCCCCTACAGCGAAAGGACCATTACTATGCTCTCTACTCGGAAACTGGTGCTGAGATCGGTATCTTGGATACGCGAACTAGCTCTAGTTTAGACGCTCTGAAAGATTATCCAAGGGCGCGGTTTGAAGCTGTATTCTCGGCTCAAGCTTTCACCAAGCGCCGACACAAAGGGAAGCCAGGTTCGCAATTGTTTCCGGTGTCGATAAACATTTTTGGATTAAAATCAGCAGCAAGCGATGCAGCAAATCGATTGTCGAATGCCTCTGCGTTTCTCCAACACCCTCAGTCATTGCATGAAGGGGCAGTATACAACAATCCACAGTTTCTAACATTTGATGAAAATTTGAATATGAATGGCTTTATTGGCCAAGGTAGTGGGAATATGCTAAATTCAAAAACAAAAATTTCAGAAGAGATAAGTAATATACTCGAGTCACTAACCGATGTAACAACAGAGGAGGACTTAGAGCCGCCCATCGGACTAACTTCAAAATTGAAAAGGTACCTACCTATCTAAGTATCCAAAAAGAATTCATATCATAAACAAGAGGACCCTAACAAATACCTTATAGGCATCAAGGAGATGGTTTACGTTTTATATATCAGAGGGAAAATGAAATATTTACCCAGACACTATCGGCACGGCTATGTCACGCGGCTTCAATTAAGTGCGATATAACTATCTAAACCACTTTTCGACGTTAATAGAATTAGCTGACTGTAATTCAGGGCCGAGATACTATTATTTACATCTTTTGGGGGGCTGATCGCGGAGTATGCAGAATTTAGACTCCCCTTTATTCCCCTTGCCCTGTTCTAGGTTTTAATACCTACAATTTTAGCTCCGAGCTGTCTCAAGAATATTTCAATCTCGAATTATTCGAAGCTCATTCGATTTACTTCTTAGCATATACAGAACGCTAATATCGTCATTTTAAAGTACAATGGGACTCGGGAAGACCCTTACCATGCTTGCGGCAGTTTTGCGTTCCGTACCAGCTGCGAGGCTTTTCGGCAGTTTTTACGACAAACCTGAAGATGAACGTACAGGAAAGGCGCGCACGAAGGCGACTTTAATAATTGTGCCATCGTCTCGTCAGTAAAACTATACATGCGTATGAACATGACCTAATCCCTTGTAGAACTTCTCGAGAGCTGGCAAGCTGAGATACAGACGTAAGCACGACTAGCAAATACACTATTTGTTGAATTCAACAGCTAATTCTCCAAGCCATATCTTCCCAGGAGCTCTTAGCTTTACCTGTTTCCATGGGAAAAAGCGGCCTCGAAATAATGAGATGTTGAGTTCATTTGACGTGGTATTGACTACGTATGCAACACTCGCCGCCGACTACGCCGATCAAGGTATCCTCCACCAGATGGAGTGGTATCGTGTGGTATTAGATGAAGGTACAGCCTAAGTTTCTCGTTGATTACGCTTTATTTATTGCTATTTGGAGGAAAGTAACTGACAAGTAAGCAATAGCCCATTGGATAAAGAACTCTAGTACTCGACAATTCCAGGCATCAGCAGCACTATGCACCAAAAGGAGATGGTGCCTTACAGGCACTCCTATTCAAAATAAGCTAGAAGATCTAGCCTCTTTGGCCCAGTTCCTACAACTTCCAAACATAGCCACCAAAGTAGCTTTCCAAAGACATATTCTAAGTCCGCTCTCTGAAGGCGGTGCAGACTTCGCAAAGCCCCTTCGAGCGTATCTTAAGGCCTACTGTCTTCGTAGAAGTGAAAAGTGTCTGAACTTACCTGCCTCTTCCGAGGTAAACATAACGCTTAGACTTTCACTAGACGAACAGTGTCTTTACAAATGTCTACTTGACGAGACAAGACGACAAATTGACTCTCTTGTTAGCAAGGGAGTTGAAACTCGGTCTAACAAACTATTCACGGCTATGCTAAAGCTACGCATGCTTTGCAACTCGGGGACATTCTCTTCGGCCCGTAGTAACGCCTCTCCCCTGGAACTGGAACAGTCCTATCCCGAGACTGAGTGCGAGCATTGCCAACCTTCTAGCGAGGAGGCACGTTTAGTTCAAGACGGCTGTTCGGTATGCTCGTATTGTGGGAAACCGTTATACCGTCCCAGTCCCAGCCCTATGCAAGACTCAGGACAGATGAGCGATGCGGGAACTATCAGCGATGGTGCGAACACGCCAACTAGCAAGGGAACTCAAGCCATAGTAGATCAAGCAAACCCCTTCTTGTTAACAGGTTACTCTACGAAGCTTTCTGCCGTGGTTCAAAAGGTAGCAGAAGGTGGGACGGATAACAAGAGGTATAAAATTTTCTTATCTAGAGATTCGCGTATACTAACCTTTGTAGTATTGTATTTTCCTACTGGACGTCGACTTTAGATATCCTACGCTGGTTATTCGAGCAGGCCGGGATTTCTTGTCGGCAAGTAGACGGCAGAGTAGGCCCGGTAGAAAGATCTGCACGTCTGAGAGCGTTCAAAGAAGACCCCCAAGTCCACGTCCTCCTCATGTCCATTGGTACTGGTGCAGTCGGGTATGTTCGTCTAGGCTTGACACTCATTCTCGTCAATACTCATAGGAGTATAGGTTGAATCTCGCCGTTGCCAAGCAGGTGCACATTGTCGAACCTCAATGGAACCCTTCGGTGGAAGAACAGGCGATCGCACGAGCGTTACGTATGGGCCAGACTCGAGAAGTCACGATTTTTCGATACATTATGGAGAAAACTGTAGAGCAGGTAGTTTATTCGAGCATTCCTTCTCGCATAGGCACCTAGTTAACAATATGCAGAATATCGTCAGTCTCCAAAGGAAGAAGAAACATATTGCAAAGTTTACTTTCGACGCGGAGACGCAAGAAACTCAATCCGGGGCACTTGAAGTGAGTGTTACAAAGGTATAGCTAAGAGATCTATCACTAGCTAACAAACACATAGGATCTCAAGTTTGTGTTAGACATGGGCTCCGTCTAGACAGGGGGCTGGGGATGATGGTCGGTAGTATTCGCTGGGGCTGTTGACCGCTCAATTTCGTCGTAAGGATTCTTGGCCATTTCATGTTACTTGGGCCTCGTAAAGATACTTCCCATCCTTTACATGTTTCCGCATTCTGAGTTTTCTCCATACTATCCCTTAATTTTCATTCGAATTTCAGAGCACTGAAATGGGGTGACGAAAGATACTGATGACCCCCTTCCCCAATGATGTATGGCCACTAAACACATTAGTTCCTCCATATGCAGTCCTAGCCTATTACCAAACTCTTCTCCTTTTCTTAGGAATTTATGATTTGTTTGATTTGATCTATAGGTCACATTCGGACCCAGGCGTGCTCTTAGACACCCCTAGCGTGTACACAAGGTAGCTCGTGGCTTGTGGAATTTTCCACCGCCCTTCTAGGGTTATTCTCACCTAAGTGTATCCTATTTACTAACTTGCACAGATAAGCCAATTTTGACTACTCCTTACTTTAATGACACACTCTTGATAGAAGGAATGAAGCCCCCAACTCCATTTAGAGGGTTCCTGGCTGTCTATCAAATGGGGGTGGCGCTTTTTTACGATACCATGATCGACTTGACAAACATAATGCGGAATTATAGATCAACCCCCAGTATCCTTGCTATCCGTGGGGTCCTAAAAGCAATATGGGAACAGCATTATTTTCTGCGTAGCGACTTCGGGAAATTCTTTAGTCCTTAGGATCCTTCATTTTCTTCAGCTAGATAATTCCCAAATTTAAAGATATTAAGTTGTCCTACTAACTACCGGTACTCCACAGCATGTTTGAGGGGAATAGCCAACTTTATGTATCTGTCCCGGCCGATTGGAAATGTTCGCCGGCAGGGAAAGGGTTCTTCGGGACCTCCGTGCTAACGCTTATCAAGTAAACGACTTCCTCCCCTATTCTATATTAACCAGCTATTTTAAGTAGGGTTACTAAATGCGTGACATTGGCTAGTGTTGGCGGTATCTCGTGACTGATACGCAACCCCTGAACCATTGCCCCTTTGCCGATAGAAACTTCCACATCTAGAAGCTCCAGCATCTGGATTAACCCTGTATAATCAAATTTCAACATTCGTCAGCGAGGTTAGACAATAGCCTAACTTGACATGAGGTTGATCTGGGCAAATCGCTATTTTGGCATATCTGTTCAGGTTGATTATAAAAAAAAATTTAATTGGTTAGCAAACAAAGAAAAACGAGGGTTATTTTGATACACATTTTGAGTAATATTATTGGTTGTTGACGGGCTGATATGTTTGTGGCTTGGTTAAATATGGCTTTACAGGGGTTTATAGGTTAGTTCTACGAGATATCTAACCCTACTTTTTGATGTACCTAATAAGCGTTTCCCCAACTTCCTGTGTTTACAGTTTAGTGTATTGTATAAGAATTGTAAAGAATTGTAACATACGGAAAAGCTACCATCTGATTATTTTCAAATCTAACCTATTCCGGAGACACCTAACAGTGTTGTTTTACTTTGTCCCGCAACTACAGTATAGTTAATCTCACAAACCCAGCACATTCCCGAACAATGTCGATTAAGTTGTTGCACGGACAGAAAATCTATAACCCTCAAGGGTTCGTATGCAGGAAAATTCCAGCCCCCGGGCCTATCCACAACTGGGGATAATTTGGTTCGGGAACGTTGGGACGTTGCCTAATCGACCCGAATCAAGGGCCTGGGGAGACGATCTTTAATGATTAGCCACCTGATTGTTCGTTTAACAATTGTTTGAAATTTTATGAGTTTATCCACTAGATTCACTATAAACTAGAACATATCCTCATGTCAAGAGTAGTAGCCACGTAGCCACTAGAGCTTCAACTTTCGATAGAGAATATAGAGAACGTCAAGATGGCCGAAGTTGGTATCATGCCGCCTCCGGAAGGAGTGACTCCTGACTTCTATAGTCGGACCTCTCTTCAGAATACTCTAATTATCCTTTTCGGTGTCGCCTTTGCATTGGCAACTATATCTGTAATTCTTCGATTATATACGGCTTTGGGGATTGTTAAAAAGCTAGATTGGGATATTTGTAAGTGCCATCACTATAGGTTTCTAACAGTCTCCACGTCGCTAATGCTTAGGTACTCAAATAGTATTCATTGTTGCAGCCTGGGGAACTACTCTGGCGTTCTACATTGGGGCGATAATAGGTACGTTACCAACTTGAAAATGTGTCGCATTTTGTTGACCGCGATAATAGCCATGCCAGCTGGTTTTGGGCGGCATCTTTGGGATGTTACACCAACACAATTGCTCGGATACTATAATGTAAGTTGCCCCTACGCTGAGGAAAACACGTAGTAAAAGTTGGTCTGCTAATATTGGTATAGATCTTATCATTCCTCGCTCTCACATATATTTGGCCGCCGTCCTTAACCAAACTTGCCCTCCTCGTTCTCTACTTTCGACTCAACCCCTCGAAGCCTTTCCGCGCGTGCGTTTTCGTTAGCGGGTTCCTCATTTTTGCGTACACCATCGTATTCACAGTCTTGTTCGTCGGGCCTTGCAACCCATTATCTATCGGCAGCGGTGTCTGCTTGAATGATGTAGCCATATCACAGGCTGTTCTAAATATTTTCTTTGATGTCGTTATAATATTACTTCCTATTCCTATGGTGCATAAGTTACATTTGCCTCTGAAGCAGAGGGCAGCCATTGGAATTTTGATTGGATTGGGGTCGGCGTAAGTCTTTAGGTATAGCCAAAGTCCTGATAAGTCGCTAACAGGGTTTCAGGGTCGTTATTGTTTCTATTGCGCGAGTTGCCTACGTGAGAGCCATGGTAGGGGACCCCGACGTGACTTGGACACAGGCATCTGCTGCAGTCTTGTCAACATTGGAATTGAATATCGGAATCATAGGCAACTGCGTATCACGTTTGAAACCCTTGATTCAAAAACATGCCCCTTCGTGGGTAAGCTCCTTGGGCGGTTCGGATGCACCTGGAAGCTACGCTCGGAACCAAAGTGGCAATGTCCCGCGGTCATGGGGAACGGGTAAAGGGAATCAGGGGTACAAATTAGAGAGTATAGATCGCGGAAAGAAGTCTGTTGATGGAGAGCGAGGTGTCGACAAAGATATTTATGTCATAAAGGACTACAGCGTCAAATACGACACGAAAGAATCGAGCCAGCCTGGGCCAGTTAGAACGGGAAGTACAGAGAGCATTCTCGCACCGGAGAGAGATACACGGCGTGTAGTATAGGTTCATGTTGTACTCGAGATGTAGAAAGTATGTTGCACCTCAAGATCAGGAACATCTATTTGTACTTTTCAACCCATGTGTATTAGTAGAGGAGTCCAAAAGAGTAGTTTACGTATCTAATATGCACAAGAAACCTTCCAGTTTTCATTTGCTTCTCTAATTGATTGACTATTTCTTCCAAGCCAGACAGCTTTTCCTGTGATAGGCTACCTAATATTGCAAAACAGGCATCAGGAAAATAGTGACTGAAAATATTAGTTTGCTTTGAATCACTAACTTGAGCCGTAGGTAATAACTAGCACCATGAACATGTTCGGTTATTCTTTTGCCAATAGGAGGTACCTAACATCTGTAAACGCCCGGATTATTTCTACTAGTACCTAAATGTACTTAAATTTACGACATAGAAAGCTACCTCCTTACATACCTACTTGGAGCATCTACTGGAACTTCAATGAGCTAAAGCTGAAGGACGTTATGTCAACATTAGATTAACTACCTAAGGTATCTAAGCTATCTATAGTAAACCCTAGTACATTCAAAATACTTGCTAGTAGAAAATCGGTGAGAGAATCTAGACTACTCTTTTACATACTCAGGAAGCGACTCCAACAACTCCAATGTTTTGTGATCTTCCACTGCTGCCGAATGACGTTCCGTCATAGCGAAAACATTTTCGTCTGGCTGCATCCCTGCCCCGGTGAGTGCCCATGCTAACCCATGCAACGTGTGCTTCCTGTAGTCATCCCATATATCTTCTAAATCGAACTTGGGGCCACCCCCTTCGTGAAGTGCCTTCAGATAGTGTTTGATTAGGTCGGTCTCATGCTTTCTACGCTCTTCGATAGTCATGACACCAGTAATGAAGTACGACACATCATGTAAGTTGACACCTGCGTAAGGCGCCTGCCAGTCAATAAATCCAGGTTGGCCATCAGGCCTGATGAAAGTATTTCCGATGTGTGAGTCGCCATGGATAATGCATTTTAGCTTCGGATTTTCCGTTGCCCACATGGTCTTGAAGGCTCTCTCCAATCGCTCCCGATTCGCCACATCCTTCCGCAAGGGTGGTGGCGCAGAAGTATTAAATCGTAAGTCCCATGCTGCTGGGCTAATCAATGAGAGAATCATCCCCTGAAGTGGACTCCCACCCATAGCCTTGTCCCCGGAAAGCCAGGGGAATCGCTCCTCGGAAGCACCCCATGTCTGTGAGTGTAGTGCTGCGAGTTGCTCGACCCCAGCGCGGACTCTGTCGACCGGCCATGGGTTCAATGGCTCGCCAAACTGACAGCCTTCAGCAGCTAGGTTAGCCATGACGACAAGGCCTTGTCCACTAGCTTTGTCGGTACCACAGTACCAGACTTTCGGTAGGTCCATGGTGAGGATAGGGCGGAGATGGTAATAAAACTCGGCCTCCCGGCGATATGTCCAGGAGAGGCCAGGGTGAAGAGCTATCAAAGGGGCGTTGAAGCCTCCCTTGACACAAACCTGAGTCGGTACATCGGCGGTGTTTACACCATCTTCGTAAATTAGGTCGATAAGGATTTTGCTTGATGTCGAGTGGATTTCCTTCACAATTGCAACAGATTTGACTTTTTGTCCTATGATCTTAGTGCACCATTCCGCGGTAATCTCCTCGGTCTTCACAGGTAATGGATCGCTCGAATTCAGTGCGTTTTGCGCGCTGTGGAGTGCCTGGCGAGTAGCTGACGACATTGTGTAGACTTGTTGATGAGGTGGGTTGGGAATTCTTGTGCTTGGCTTTGATTTCTTTGCTTCAATAGAGGGCGAAAGGGCTTGGATAAATACCGACAAATGAGAGAAGCGGTGAACACTAGGATCGTGGCGTTAAGATAGAATAGTATTCTTCGCTTAGAGGATACTGACCGACCGCCACGAAGCAGTTGCACTGCATAGGTACGATATATCATACGTATACATGTTATACCTCTAGACTAGTATATCCCTTACCGTGCGGAATGTTCTCATGCGAAATGCCATTATGAGCGGCTCGTCACTTCTTGAGGTTGTACCTAGGTATAAGAGCCCATTTAAAAAGTACCTAAAGTAGCAAACACGACCGTCTATTTAGGACATAGCCAGGTTATCATTCAGGTCTAACATGTATCTAGCATCAAATAGTAACTACTCGTTCTATGGAGCAATATCCCTCTTGGGGAACCCCCTTTTTAGTGACACTACCTAACGTAGTACGCTCCATTTTCCGGAATCTCTCCCCGCTTAATTGTTGAGAATTGTTACCATCCATAACTACCTCCTACACAATAACTAGTGGAAATACAGAAGGTCTTGTCATATCATAGGCTAGACATGGAGGGTACCTATGTATAACAAATGAGGAGAGGGGAAGTCTAGCTAGGCCTACGTAAGTACTATGATAGCGGTATAATCACAATACTGATAAACTAGCATGTTCTGGCGTTCTTCTAGCGCGCTGTTATGCAAGCCATTCTAAAATAGTTCAAATTGGGAGAAGGCCTTCTCTCCATAATTTTAGTTTATTTATTTTCTCAAAATAAATCAAAAAATCGCGTGAATGTTACTTTGAACGAATGTTTGACCTAGTTTAGATGCAGACTTATACTGTGGGTTATCCCTTTTCACAATAAGTCACACCGAACCAGTTACCAGACACCTATCTATATTGGCGTCTAATCACCAGGGGGGGAAGTTGAAACATGAAACGCTCAAAACACGATGGAGAGGTCTGATTGACTCGTATTACGATCACTATGGAAATATCTCATTTGATAGTAGCTAGGAAGTAAGTGGTTAATAGATGTAGTGATGGCACAGCTCATAACTAAATTCTCGAGGAGCCTACGATCACATTTCAATCGTCATGTCATCGAAGCCAAGTCGCACTTGCTTACCAACATAATGAGAGTAGTAATACCTGCGGAACAGGAAAGTTGGTTGGAGTCTGCAGGAACTTGCATGGTTGTATAACTCTTAATGTTGTATCGGTGCTGGGTAGATCGTAAAGAGGGATAGCGAAAATGTCCCTGATTGGCCTGCTTCAACTGGCTAAGGATCCCAAGGTCGATCGAACGTTCCGCTCGGGCCGCTCCATTAGATACCTATTCAGCGATATCGTCCTTCAACCGCGGTGGAGCTTTATTCGAGCAAACATATTCATATTCTACCCGAGTAACGCCAGCATTATCGAATACTAGGTTTGCCGTGGAGACGCTATACGAGAGATAACTATTTATAAACTATATACAAGAAAGAATGCATGCACAATTATATCCTAGGAATATCTCAATATCTTTGCTAGGGGCTATTTGGTCGATATAGGCTATCTAAAGTCTTAGGGTTGAGACCGTGATACATCCACCAACTTCAAGCGGCAATTGCGCTTTGACTTATACCCTAGGTCTTTATGACTTGACCATGCCGAATACTTATCGGCAATCAGAATGGACCTTGAAAACATTGAAGCTATTCAGACCTATGCAGACGTACGTTGTTTCGAAACCGGAAAGTGACCCTGGCGATCGGTCCCCCTGTACTCATCCAAACAATCGTAATCTTGGCAAAGCTTTAAAGGCTTTAAAGGCTTGAACGACCGAATCCATGGTTAGTCGCTATTTTACCCCAAAGGCCCCAACAATAAGCGACCCATAACGTTGGGATTGCCTACCTAAAGAAGAAAATTTCAAGACAATAGGCAGGGATAATCTGTTATTTCAGGGGCTAATTCGGGATCCATTTGGGTGGATATTTGGTTAATTCAAGCTTAAAAAAACCCTCAGACTCGAACTATGCTTAATTGAACCCACCTGGATGTAGGATGGGCGGAAACATTGGTTAGGATATACCAGATTACTTCCTGAACTGTGCAATCGTAGCTGAATGCCTCCCAGACCAAGAACTGTACGGGAAATTACTATACGGTAAATAGGACCCTTTATCCAAAAGTGGATCTACACGAATTGCCCAAGCCTGAATACCAGAGCCGTGTCAACTACCATCTGGTTGAGATATAAGAAGGAGGGCGCCAAGTAACCTTATTGTAAACCCATAAGTTGAACGTATAGAAAAAGAGATAAATTTTAGCCCCTACCTAACGTTCGTACTCGCTGGTTGGTATGGAGTCGTGGCGGTTGGGTGATTATTTATTTCTATCCGAGCGACTAAGCGCTATTACTCTAGACATACATTAGTCCCGGCAGTGAAAGAGGTTGGTATAACTTTAATTCTAGCTCAATGACCTCCATTTATTTTCCATGACGTTATACCTGTTACAGGATACTAGGTACTTGGCATAATTTTATTTTATATAATAGGTACCTACCTAAGGTGTATAAAAGATTCCGGTAAAGTATGGCTGATGGGGGCCATTGTAACACGATAGATGAACGGAAATGCTTACAGTTTGCCACGATGCCTGTCTGTGTTGGCGTAGGTCCAGTTGCAGTACTGGTTGTAGTCTTACTCGTTGCCGCGGGCCGGCTTGTGGGTGTCCCGGGGATACCGACGCACACGTAATAACCGATGAAGAGCTAGGAACAATCCGAACCGACAGCTGGGTTCCATGAGAGGCTATATTATTTCACACACTAGACACATTGTCAAATAGCTGTAGGGTCTTAAATCATATCTCGATGGGTCTAAAAACTCACAAGTCCTTGAGGGTAAACGTGCCATAGTTGTCGACGATCTGCGAACAAGTGTCTCCCGACCCGACCTTGTAATAAGATATACCTACAACTATTATCAGCACTTATTCCTTAGCGAGATGATTAGGCCCCTAGGCTTGGATATTATGTATTCCTCGAGGAAGTTTGAAGGTTGAAATAATTCCAGTCTGCTTAGGTTGTCATACGGACAGTAATGCCAAAAAATTGTTGGTTAAAAAAAATAACTAATAAAAAATATAGGATAATTATTTCAGGATTTATTAGATAAGGAATATTATAAAATTATATAATTATATATAAGCAAAATTAACATATTAATAAAGATTTTGTTAAATTAATAAATATGTATTTTAAATTGTTTATAAATAAGTTAAAATTTTTTTTTGGAAAAAAAGAAAAAATTAAAGATTTTAAAACTTTAAAAAATTATTAATAATTTTGATTATATTTTAAACCTTTTATAACTTTTATTATAAATAATTTTTTATTATTTTAAAAAGATTTAATATTTTAAAATGGTATATATATTTCGGATTATTATTTATTTTATTTTATATTAAAATTTTAAATTAAAGTTTAATAAAATTTAAAAAAAACCTTTTATTACTTTTTTTTATTAATAAATTTTTTTTTTAATTTTTTTTTTTTATTATTATTATTTATTGGAGAAAAAATTAAATTAAGATATTTTTTTATATTAAACTTTATATTTTTAAAAATTATTTCCTTTATTATTTAATTAAAAAAGGAATTTATAAAAAAACTTAAAAATTTTATATTTTATAAATATATAATTAAATTAATTTTTAACCAAAACTTTTTTAAAAAATATTTTCGAAATAAATATTAAAAGCGTTTTTTAATTTAATTTAATATTTTAAAACTATCTTTAATTTAAACCGATAATATAAGTTTAATATATTTTAATAATAATTATATTTTTATTTTATATAAATTGTAAAATTATAAAGTAATTATATAAAATATATTTAAAATTAATATTATTAATTTTATTATTATTAACTTATTTAATTAATTAATTTAATTGTATAAATAAATGGAAAAAATTTATAAATTTTTTTAATTTTTTATACGTTTAATAAATAAAAATTATAAAAATAATTAAAATTAATTTAATTAATAATATTAAATTTTATAA